GGAAGTTTGGCTGACGTGGATTTTCCAGGAAAAAGGAGATTAAGTATAATTGCTTTACAATGCGGTATTAATTTCTGCTGTACAACGAAGGGAATCCGCTATAAGGATACATATGTCCCCTCCCCCTTGGACCTCCCTCCCACCTCCTCGCCCACCAATCCCACTCCTCTAAGTCATCACAGAGCACGGAGCTCCCCGTGCTCCACAGCGATTTCCCACTGTCGATTTTACACATGGCAGTGTCGCATGTCAGTCCCAGTCTCCCAGGTCTCCCCCCACCCCCATGTCCACAAGTCCCTTCTCTACCTCTGCGACTCTGTTCCTGCCCTGCAAATAGGTTTATCTGTTTCATTTTTCTAGATTCCACATATATGCGCTAATAAACGACATTTGTTTTTCTCTTTCTGACATTTCACTCTTTGTAACAGACTCCATGTTCATCTGCGTCTCTACAAATGACTATTTCGTTCTGTTTAGTGGTTGAGTAATACACCCAAGCAGAGACATTACTTTGCCAACAAAGGTCCATCTGGTCAAGACTATGGTTTTTCCAGTGGTCATGTATGGATGTGAGAGTTGGACTGTGAAGAAAGCTGAGCGCCGAAAAATTGATGCTTTTGAACTGTGGTGTTGGAGAAGACTCTTGAGAGTCCCTTGGACTGCAAGGAGATCCAACCAGTCCATCCTGAAGGAGATCAGTCCTGGGTGTTCATTGGAAGGACTGATGCTGAAGCTAAAACTCCAATACTTTGGCCACCTCATGCGAAGAGTTGACTCACTGGAAAAGACCCTGATGCTGGCAGGGATTGGGGGCAGGAGGAGAAGGGGACGACAGAGGATGAGATGGCTGGATGGCATCACCGACTCTATGGGCATGAGTTTGAGTAAACTCCGGGAGTTTGTGATGGACAGGGAGGCCTGGTGTGCTGCGATTCATGGGGTCGCAAAGAGTCAGACACAACTGAGCGACTGAACTGAACTGAACTGAATACCCCATTGTAAATATGTGCCACATCTTCTTCATCCATTCAGCTGTCTCTGGACATTTAGGTTGTTTCCATGTTCTCCTGGTTATTGCAAATGGTGCTGCAGTGAAAACTGGGGTACATGTGCTCTTCTGAATCATGGTTTCCTCAAGGTAGCAGATCAACTTTTAAAACAGAGAGGAGGAGGAATAGACATGTAGGAATAGTGTCACTGTTGCTTGAGGGATAGATTCCAAGCCTGGAGATAAAACATAGAGGGCTAGCTGTGCAGCTGGACAAGCTGGCCCAAAGAATCTCTGGGTTTTGTTTCTGTTTTTAATGAAGTCAGATACCTCAAGAAGGCAGCGGAGAGCATTTCTTTTTGACCGCGATAGTCTGCAGAGATTTCCAGTCGTTAAAAGGGATCATTCTAAAGGTATCACAAAGAGCACCCTATTACAGTGTCTGTCCCCCTGAAAGCGAATCCTTCTTCTTTGTACTCAGAGTGTTTCTCTGTTAATAACAGCCTCCTCTGATGACCCCAGGTTTCACAGCCTCCCTGGAAGTAAAAGCTGCTCTTTGTATAGGCATTTTATTCCAATTCCTACACACACTCCTCCCCAATTGGGGTCATAGTCGGGCCACCGCTACTAAATGCATCACCACTGAGTCAAAGGACAAGTCAGAGCAACTGTCTGTGCTGTCTTCTCTTCCTCATCGTGTTTATTTAGGTTGACATCGCTATCAATAAAATTCAGCGAGCATTTACACAGCGCCCCACTTGTGCTCAGTCACATATGTGGCATTGAGTTGGTTGGGCGTGGTTTCTGGCCTGGAGCATCTTGCATCGGCTTCCAGATGGTTTTGGAGATTGGCAAAATGCTTTGGCATCTCCCTTCAACCCTTCCAGGCTATGGTGGTAGTAGTTTAGTAGCTCAGTTGTGTCTGACTCTTGTGACCCCATGGACTGACTGTAGCCCACCAAGCCCCTCTGTCCATGGGATTTCCAGGCTGTAAGTTTCTCTTAATTTGACTTGTCACTTTATGATTTGGCTGAAGGTGAACTTGAGTACATTCAATCAAACAGAAGTCTCTATGAAACCGATTCCCCAACCTGTATGTTCCTTCCGTACTTCATGTGCGCTTACCTCTTTTATCACGTCATGTTATATTTATTTATGAACATGTCAGCCTCCATTATCTGGGGAGGGAGAAAAGGTGCCCAGGGAGTGGAGCCAGAAAGCTTGTGCTTGTTTTTGAAGTCAGACTTAGGTATGAATCAACCATGAAATTTTGCCCATGCAAGTTAATCTCTCTGATTAGTCCCTCAGTCCCTATCTAGAGTTGAAAGATAATGCCTTTGTCACAGCATGGATGTGAGAATGAAGGTATTTATCATATGAATGTGCTTTGTTAACTATTACCCATATGCTGATTTTATTATCCCCCCCAAGTGATCTAGCAAAAGGCCTTGCCTATGAGAAATACCTTATTAATATTCATTAAATTATAGAAAAGTGACACCAACCACCCTGTGATGTATTATTCTTGTCATTCACATTCATTTTGTAGCCCACACCCTTAGCTAGGCCTATCTGTAATGCCCTCTATGTTTGGGGAGGGTATTTGTAGGAAACAAACAGGATCAAAGGGGCCTGCTCACCAGTGAAGCTATCCTTTTGGATAGTAGGGTCCAAAGCACTGTTCCCTACCCCCTACTTCATATGTCCTGCTTCTACCTTAAAGGGCAGAAAGTACCAGAGAAGCTCTACTAGTTAAAACATGGTATCTAAGGACTTTCCTGGCAGTCCAGTGGTTAAGACTCCATGCTTCCACTGCAGCGGATGTGGGTTCCAGCCTTGATTGGGAAAGTAAGATCCCACATGCCACATGGCCAAAATAAAAAAAAAGGACTCTGGAGTAAGACAGTCCTGGGTTCAAATCTTTACTAGTTGTGTGACATCGGGTAATTTTCAAGTTTTTTTTAGCTTTCCATTTTGTGTGTGTGTGAAATGAAGATAACACAGGATTGGACAATGACTAAAATTAGATTATACCAACATTGCAATCCCAAACAAATGCAATGTCAAAGAATGCTCAAACTACCACAAAATTGTGCCCATCTCACATGCTAGCAAAGTAACACTCAAAACTCTCCAAACTAGGCTTCAACAGTACATGAACTGTGAACTTCCAGATGTTCAAGCTGGATTTAGAAAAGGCAGAGGAACCAGAGATCAAATTGCCAACATCTGTTGCATCATAGAAAAAGCAAGAGAATTCTAGAAAAAAATCTACTTCTGCTTTACTGACTATGCTAAAGCTTTTGATTGTGTGGATCACCACAAATCGTGGAAAATTCTTCAAGAGATAGGAATACCAGACCACCTTACCTGCCTCCTGAGAAATCTGTATGCAGGTCAAGAAGCAACAGTTAGAACCGGACATGGAACAACGGATTGGGTCAAAATTGGAAAAGGAGTACATCAAGGCTGTATATTATCACCCTGCTTATTTAATATGTGCAGAGTACATCATGCGAAGTGCTGGACTGGATGAAGCCCAAGCTGGAATCAAGATTGCCGGGAGAAATATCAAATATCTCGATATGCAGATGATACCACTTATGGCAGAAAGTGAAGAGAAACTAAAGAGCCTCTTGATGAAGGTGAAAGAGGAGAGCGAAAAAGCTGGCTTAAAACTCAACAATCAATAGAATTCATTTGAATCAGTTATAATGAGATGGATGAAACTGGAGCCCATTATACAGAGTGAAGTAAGCCAGAAAGATAAAGACCATTACAGTATACTAACACATATATATGGAATTTAGAAAGATGGTAACAATAACCCTATATGCAAAACAGAAAAAGAGACACAGATGTATAGAACAGACTTTTGGACTCTGTGGGAGAAGGCGAGGGTGGGATGTTTCAAGAGAACAGCATCGAAACATGTATATTATCTAGGGTGAAACAGATCACCAGCCCAGGTTGGATGCATGAGACAAGTGCTTGGACCTGGTGCACTGGGAAGAGCCAAAGGGATTGGGTCGAGAGGGAGGTGGGAGGGGGGATCGGGATGGGAAATACATGTAAATCCATGGCTGATTCATGTCAATGTATGACAAAAACCACTACAATATTGTAAAGTAATTAGCCTCCAACTAATAAAAATAAATGTAAAAACAACTCAACAATCAAAAAATGAAGATCATGGCATCCAGTCCCATCACTTTATGGCTAATAGATGGGGAAATAACGGAAACAGTGATAGACTATTTTCTTGGGCTCCAAAATCGCTGCAGATGGTGACTGCAGTCATGAAATTAAAAGACACTTGCTCCTTGGAAGAAAAGCTATGACCAGCCTAGACAGCATATTAAAAAGCAGACTTGACTTTGCCAACAAAGGTCTATCTAGTCAAAGCTATGGTCTTTCCAGTAGTCATGTATGGATGTGAGAGTTGGACCATAAAGAAAGCTGAGTGCAGAGGTTTGGAAGAATTGATGCTTTTGAACTGTGTGGTGTTGGAGAAGACTCTTGAGAGTCCCTTGGACTGCAAGGAGATCCAACCAGTCAATCCTAAAAGAAATCAGTCCTGATTATTCATTGGAAGGACTGATGCTGAAGCTGAAGCTCCAATACTTTGGCCTGAGGCAAAGAACCACTCATTAGAAAAGACCCTGATGCTGGGAAAGATTGAAGGCAGGAGGAGAAGGGGACGACAGAGGATGAGATGGTTCGATGGCATCACTGACTCAGTGGACATGAGTTTGAGTACACTCTGGGAAATGGTGATGGGCAAGGAGGCCTGGCATGTGGCAGTCCATGGGGTCGCAAAGAGTCAGCCACGACTGAGCGACTGAATTGAACTGACAATTAGATAACGTTCTGAACGGAGATATTGAGAGAAATGAAGAATTAAAGAAGCCCAACAAGCGTGAACATTACTCGAGCAACTCCTAATGGGCTGGGCCCCACGCGCGTCGGGGAGACAGACGCTGTCACCGGCGGGAAAGAGACGACTGCGTGTATGAGCCGGTGCGGAGACGACAAGAACACGGGGCTGGGTGTGTGTGGGGGGCACCAGGGGAGCGCCCGCCTGACAGCCCCGTCGGGGAGGGCTTCCAGCAGGAGGTGATTCCTGTGAGAGATGGGCGGGTCGTGTGGGTGAGCCGAGCGGCCGGAAGGAGCACAGGGAAGCGGGACGCAGACGTCTGACAGGACCCCGTTCCTCTCTGACAAGATGGAGCCACGAGGGTTTGCGGACGCTAGCCTTGCGCTCGCAGGAGCTGACACGCCGGGTCTTGACGCGCCGAGGCTGCGCCCCTCCCCCCCACCCCCGAGGGAGGCCGCTGAAGCGGAGAGAGCGAGGCACCCCGGAGTCCTCGACCCCGCTCAAGCCCCTAGTCACCCCACTTGAGCTCTGTACCTCTGTGGTCAGCCAGCGATGACACCCACCCCCAGGGTCACTTCGAGGACGAGACGGGACTCTGTTGGCGGCCAAGTGTGCGTCCCCGAACAAGTATTTCAATAAAATCAGCTCTCTCGGCCTCAGCGCCGTGTCGCGAAAGCCCGAAAGCCCCAGCGAGGCCCGCGTCCCCGCTTCCTACCTCCCGCGCAGGGAGGGCCAGCGGGTGCTGCAAGCCCGGCCCGGACGCCAGGACGCGCACTGGCGAGGCCAGCCGCGCGGGCGCGCCCACCGCGCATGCTCCGCGGGCCGCCGGGACCCGGCCGGGCGGCGGGCGGGGCGGGCCGCGCGAGGGCGCATGCGCAGACGGCGCCGCCGCGCGGTCCCAGTGCGGCAGCCAGAGAAAACCGCAGCGGCGGCGGCTGAGGCGGCGGCTGAGGCGGCGAGTGCACGGGCGGCCGCAGGCGGAGCGCGGGCCGGGGCTGGCCGGGCGGTGCCTGAGCGGCGGGCTGACGGCGTCCGCGCGGCGGTGGAGGGCGAGCGCGACGAGGGGCGACCGCCGGCGCCGGCGCCGCAGGGACTTTGACGTTCTCGGCTCCATCAGCGCCGAGCGGGGGCCGACCGCGTCCCCCCGGCGAGGCCCCGGGGCTCCGGCCGGCGGGGCGCCCCTCGGGCGGGCCGCGCTCGGAGGGCGGCGCGATGGCTGGACGGCCCCCGCGACTTGACCGCTGAGGACGCCCCCGCCGCGCCCGGGCCCGGCCGCGCCGAGACAAAGGGGAGGCGCCCGCACGCGCGTTCGCGGGAGGCTCGCGGGGCGGCCGGACGCGGCGTCGCCTCGCCTTGGGCCGGGCGCGCGGGGCCTGCCCGATGCTCTGAGCTGCCCGGGGACTCCGGCCGGGACCCCGACCCCCCGGCCCCGCGGCCGGCCGCGCCATGTGAAGGGTGGGCCGGCGCCCGGAGCGCGTGAGGATGGGGGATGCCGCGGACCCCCGGGACGGGAAGAGGACGTTCATTGTTCCGGCCATCAAGCCCTTCGACCACTACGACTTCTCCAGGGCCAAAATCGCCTGCAATCTGGCCTGGCTGGTGGCCAAGGCCTTCGGGACAGGTAGGCGGTGGCCGTCCGTGCCTCCCTCCCCCGCAGCTGCGCGCATCCCGGTTTTGTTTCCGTCCTCTGGTTCCAGCCCCCCCCGCCCCGCCCGCCCCGCTCCCCGCCTGGCTCGGCGCACAGGCTCGGCGCCGCGATGTGCGAGGAGAAAGGAGGGGGGTAATAACGCCGGCTTGCTCTTCAGTCAAGAGCCTCCGGTTTGGGCAGGTGGGATGCTCCAGATTTCTTTTATTGGATAGCAGAAGTGGGTGTTGTTTTTGTTTTTTTACCTCGTTCCAGTGACCAATTTTGTCACGTTTTCACACGGGGTGGTTTTAATTTGTGGTATTTTTCTCATTGTGCCGCATTCATTTCCCCCGCAGTCATAGCTGTGATTACAGCGCTGAGAAATCTGAGTTGGTTTCGTTATTATTGGAAGGAGGTGGCTGGCACACAGACTACATTGATTCTGACATTTGTAACCATGGCTGCGAGTCAGGCTCCGTGGGCTGCACGGTGGCCCGCGGCCGAGGGCAGGTTTTTAGTTTTTGTGGTCCTTCTTTAAGCCTTTGTCCTCCTGTACACGGTCCAGGCTCTGTTAGACCAGTTATTTAAACCCAGTATTTAGCTTGCTGACTGTCACGTACTGTTTTCATTTCGTGTTCAGACACATTCCTTTTCCCAAACATTTTGGCTTCATAAATTAAGAGAAACAACAACTCCCTACTGTGGGATTAGAAAAAAATTTTTTTTAATAGAAGAGTTTTTTGAGGGCATGTGCTGTTGACACAAACTGTATAGTCCAGTGGAAGTCAGACACTCCCGCCTTAACCCAGTCTTTGCAAAATAACAGGAAAAGGGCCTCCTGTGTAATTCCTTGGCTGGTGCTTTAGCAGCCCCTGTTGTGGAGCTCTGAAAGATTTAGCTTTTGACTGGGAGATTTTTCCATGATGCTGGTTTCGTCTGATAGCTTTGAGTCATTCTGTAAGATTTCTGTGCCCTAGTTAATAAATTTTGGATATGTAAAAATCTGTTGAAAAGTTTCTTAGTATTTACAGACTTTTCTCCAGATGTTAAATACAGGTTTTTTTTTTTTTTGAGGGGAAGAGGATGGCTTATTTCCAGTTTTAGGACCATGAAAATATGTGGGTAAATGGTTTAATTAATTCTTAACTGTTCAAACATACACAGCTGAATACATACACAGGTTACTAGCAGGACTGCATATTTAGTTAACTAGCGAATGAATCTCAGCGTTTAGAAAATTATTTTAGTTAGTTTTGAGGGAAACTTCACCTTACTGGGATTTGATGTTTATGACAGCTTTTGTCTTACTTGAATTCTCATGCTTTGTATTGAAGCAGAAACATGTTAAAGGTTTTCAAACTCGCATCAGGAGTAAATATAATAAAAAATTTACTTTGAAATAATTTGGATCTTAGAGATTTTGTTGAAACTGAATGTGTAGAGTAACACATGGGAGGAAACACAAAGTGTTAGAGTATTTTTGTTTCCTGACACCACTGAAGCTAATATCCATTTAGAGGAGAAATGGAAGCTACTTAAGTGTTTGGAAAAGATGGAGAAAGGGAAATTTATATTTCCACCTCTGTGGAAAAGCAGTGTGTACGAAATGGAATGCAGAGGGGATAGCAAAAATATTTCCTTTCCTCCTGAAACTGAGGAAGAATCTTATAGTACAGATGTCCTTGTTGCCCTGGATTCATGAGGATTCCTGACCACAAAAAGGCCTGCTCTCTGGGTGTGTGTCAGGCAGGTTTAATAGATCCTGGGCCTCTTGAGGAGCAGGCGTTGAGGAGGAGAAGAGAAAGAAGCAGAGCCCGGGTGGAATGTGTTGTGTGTGGGAGGCGTGTGAGATGCTGTGTGTTCTGTTGTACGTTCGGGGCCCACGGCAGCTCTGTGATATAGGTAGCCTGCTCCTCATCTAAAAATGCGAGGTCCCCAGTGCAGAGAGAGATTAAACAGTTTCCCTACGGTCACACTTTGAGTGAGGGCAGACATGAGCTTTGACTTGAGTGTCTGACTCCGAAGGGTTCGGTGTGGGTGGAGCAGGCACACCTCTTCTGTGTCTGATACTTCAAACACACTGCTCTGTTAGTAGTCCCACAGAATCCCTCCAGAGGATAGTGTTCTCATTTCACAGATGAGGGAATGAGCTCAGACCCGTTCGCTCAAGATTAAACATCTGGTGGGTCCTGCAGGTCTTTACTCCTTCTGTCACTCTGCAGAGTAAGCCTCTTTATCTGCCAGGTGTGCAGAATGTCCATATAGTACATGTTAAAAGTCTTATTTACTTACTTGTTTTCTTTGAGTAATGGCAGATCTTACTCCCAGATGGTTTAGATGAATAACGTTGGCACTTATATTTGTCTTGGGAGCAATTGGCCTGGACAAAAGTCATATTCAAAATGGAATGAAAAACAAGCTTAAAAAAAACATAAAGTCACTTAGTAAGGAGAAATTAATGTATTATTAAGAAGGTTATGTATGTACATTTTGTTTGTTCTTATTCAACAGTCTTTCAAAGTATAAATTTATATGGGGTGAGTAGAAAAAAGGTAAGGTTTCATTTCTTTGGATGTAAATTTTCTGCATTTGCTGCAGACACTGTTTTATGACAGGTGTTAGTAGACAGCGTATTTCAGAGGTATTGCCTAGGGGTATTCAGTGAATCATTCAAAATACTAGCTCCCATTTAAGTTATGACTTATGAACATCCCTTCTTTAATGATGGCATGTAGGATTCTCAGGTGCTGATTTAGTCTTTTTTTGTGAGAAACGTTCTAACTTTTGACAAATTAAATTTTAGAACTATATATCGGAAAACTCATTTAAGATGATAGCTGGAAATCAGTTGTGGGCTAGGATGAAGTTATTGAACTTTAAAAAATAAATAAAGCACTGGTATTTAATGCCTAGAAAGCAGGTAATACCTAGGTTATACCTAGAAAGCAGATGGAGTATTTACTTAATTCGAGATTGGAATCATATTCTTTTTCTTTACACTGAAAATGTTCCAGATAACCCAAATCTTAATAGCTTATTTTGTGGGAGGAGGCAGGTACAACTTTGATCAAATGAAGAAGTTTGTTTAGGTGAATTTTAGTCAGTAAGCAGGTAAGATGCTCTAATTACTTGAAGCAAATTGCAGAAGGGAAAGTTGAACTGTGCTATGTCTGGTGTATTTGAATAGCTTCACCCATTTATGCAATAGTATAACTTTGCTTTAAGTTTGCGAAGTTCTCACATTTGGAGTTCTTTTTTCTTGATCGTGTAACTTGGGCAATGGCAGTGAAAATGCCTCTTCTTTACCATAACACTCGAGTCCTAACCACTGGACCATCAGGGAATTGCTGGCATTTGTTCTTCACGTAGAACATAAGACCCACTTCCTGGTGTCACTTTATCATTTCAACCTTATCAACTGTCATTCTTCCTTTCGTACCATGAACTACAGAATATATATAGCAGAGTATAAAATCATCTGCTATTATGTGTGTGTGCTGAGTCACTTCAGTCATGTCCAACTCTTTGTGACCCCATGGACTGTAGCCTACCAGGCTCCTCTGTCTATGGGATTCTCCAGGCAAGAATACTAGAGTGGGTTGCCATGCCCTCTTCCTAGCCCAGGGGTCGAGCCCGCATCTCTTATGTCTCTCACATTGACAACCAGGTTCTTTACCACTAATGCCACCTGGGAAGCCCATCTGCTATTATCAGTTCAGTTCAGTCGCTCATTCATGTCCAACTGTTTGTGACCCCATGGACTGCAGCACACCAGGCCTCACCAACTCCTAGAGCTTGCCCAAACTCATGTCCATCAAGTTGGTGATGCCATCCAACCATCTCATCCTGTCATCCCCTTCTCCTCCTGCCTTCAATCTTTCCCAGCATCAGGGTCTTTTCTAATGAGTCAGTTCTTCAAATCAGGTGGTCAAAGTATTGCAGCTTCAGCATCAGTCCTTCCAATGAATATTCAGGACTGATTTCCTTTAGGATTGATTGGTTGGATCTCCTTGCAGTCCAAGGGACTCTCAAGTGTCTTCTCCAACACCACAGTTCAAACACATCAATTCTTCTGCACTCAGCTTTCTTTATGGTCCAACTCTCACATCCATACATGACTACTGGAAAAATCATAGCTTTGACTAGATGGACCTTTGTTGGCAAAGTAATGTCTCTGCTTTTTAATATGCTATTTATCTGCTATTTTTATTTAATATGATTTTTTATCTGTTACTATAAATACTCTTTATTATGTTTCTTTGTATATCCCAATACATTTTGTCAAAATCCTGCATGAGACCCGACTCTCATGCACATGTGGTCTCAGTGGCCAGCACTGTGGTGAAGGGAGCCTGGAACAGAGGGGCCGGTTTGGGAAGTTCTCGCAGGAGTCTGGGTGTCAGGTGGCCGCATGGAAACGCCGGTATTGTTTATTGAGTTCTTCCTTTGTGTCAGTCTCTTTCTGTGTTCCATCTCATTTTGATCCTCATAACAGCCTTGAGAGGTGCAAGCTGTCCAGGATCACTGGTGAAGAAATGAGGCCCAGGGGTTCGGGGACTCACCCAACACCACCTAGCGTACGGCCGTGTGTTCTCAGCCTGTTTTCAGCTGCCCTCTTTACCACTGTGCTGTACAGGTAGGAGTTGGATTAACGGAAAAGAGGCAAACATAGAAGAAACACTGCCGAGACCTAGTCCCTGGTGTTTCTAAAGGGCTGAATTTGGGATGCCTGGGGAGGGGACGAGGTCACCTGCGATTATAAGGAGAACGGGGTTACTTGAGCTTTGCCATCGGTGACTGGGAGGCTGAGTCAAGTGCCATTGGCTGAGCTGGGAGCGGCCAGTGGGAAGGGGAAGTCAGCTTTGTTCTGGGGAACCTTGAACTTAATGTGTTGGCCAAATATGTTATCTGAGAAATCCAATAAGGTAGGCAGCTATAAGTGTGGGTATGGAGGAGGGTTGATTAGGCGAGGCTACAAAATAGCAATTTGGGAA